ACAGATACAATTACTATACAATTTTTCTTCAGGATCATGTGACAGTTGTTCTAAAACAATACAGACTAATGATTTTAGGACAGTGATGGAGCTCCAGGACCTTGTCACAGCTGCAACCTCTACAACCCCAGTAGTTCTCATGACAATGCCAAGCATCAGCACTGGTATCTGAACATCCCTAATTTACATATTCCTAGAAGTTACTGAATTTTGAAACGAGCCCTCACTTATCTCTGTAGCTGCAGATACTGTTATGCAAATCATCCTCAAAGTTCACAGCACAAGCAGCTCATTTCTCCCTGGCACGGTACCCGCTCTTTGCTTTAATTAGAGATAAGGCTGCGTCACTGCTGGGTGGGGGAGCAAAGATGGGATGCAGAGCTCTCCTGGTCAGGAACAAAGATGTGTGTTTCTGGATGACTTCAATATATTTAATTAATAACCCTGGGAATTGACATGTAACAGGTGTAGTCAGAACTTTCAATCTACATACTTGTCAATTACTCAAAAACAATGAAATCCATTATATTAGTACGAAAGCCAGGCAACTAGTATTTTTAGAAGCACAGCACATTTCATACTTCTGTCATCACATTAGCAAAATAATATCTTTTGTGGAATTTCCTTTATAAAATGATGTTGTCAGGTGCTTCTCCTTCAATTGTACTTATCTTTTTTTTTCTGATCATCCTATCACAGGTTTACCACCCACAGCCAACAACCTTCCCTTGGAGCTGACAGTTGTGTACAACACTTTGTTAATTCGCATTAATATAACTGGTGGATTTCTCTGTGAACATCAAGAACAACTGAAGAATGCCCTGTGCCGAGGTTGGTAATTGTAGCTGCCTGAAGATATTCATTGACAGTTGGTGCCAAGTAAAGTGAAGTTTTGAATGCAGCAGTCATTGCTCAAAGAAAGTTTATTTGTAGATAGGATCTTCCTTATGGTCACTACGCACATTACAATTTGACTGTGCAATTACATTTTTATTTACCAATACCATGTAGTACAAGAACCTACATAATCTATCTTCTCATTTTGTATCCATTTAGACCGGCTCTTGCACTTAGTGCGATCGCCTTTGAATCTACCGATAACTATCAGATTGTAACGTGTGTTGTGAGCTTTAGACAAACACCACCAGAACATTTAAACTGCATCTGAAAATGTTCCATTGTTTTATTTTTATACAAATTAACTTTTTGGTTGTGAATGACAGTAAACTCCCCATTATCCGGCATTCAAGCAACCGACACTCTCAAGTAACCGGCAAAACAAATGTTTTTTGCTTTTTTTAATGTGGCTTGATGCATGTTAAACAAAATGTCAGTTCCTTGGTGCACACTAAAAATTTTTGTAAGCAACTACATTTATTTAGTTGCTAATTAAATTCTTTGTTTACAGCATGCTGCTGGCCGGCGGCTAGATTCCACGGTCAGCAGCAGAATGTAAACAATGGGAAGAAATAGCCAGCCTGCTATTGGCTATTTCAGATTGCAATAGCAGGCAGCCTATTGAAACTCTGCCCACCGAGCAGAGGAGCGGCCCTGAGAGAGAACTTTCTCTCTCAGGGCCGCTCCTCTGCTTGGTAGGTGGGACTTCAATAGCCAGCCTGCTGTTGCAATTTGAAATAGCCAATAACAATCTGGCTGTTGATCCCGGCTGCTTACATTCACTTGTGGGCTGCGGAAGTTAGCCGGCAGGTGAAGGGGCTGTGGGGCGGTGGGTTGCTTGAAAGTTACTATTAACTCAAAAGCAACCAGAAACGAACAGTTATCTGGCACCTACCAATCCCCATGGGTGCTGGATAACTGGGAGTTTACTGTCCCATTTCTTAAATCTTCTAATGGAAATGTCAGTTTCCTTGCTGTCACTGACCCAAAACAGATTTACACAAAAGGAGTTCTGATATTTTTCTTGGTTTAAGGGTTAAGAGGTAAAGAGAACCTGTTGGGTCTGTAAAGAAATTCAATCTGCAGTTGTTATAACCCCACTTAGACGGCTTGTGTTTTCTTTCCCCCGTTGTTCCAGCACTATAGCCTCTGTCGGTGCCTTTGGCATTTGTCACTTCTGGGAGTGTTGGATGCTTGTGTCCCACTGCCGCACGCTGTGGTTTTCTTCTCACACCTACCTTACTGCGGAGTCCTGTAGTAATGTAGGGGTCAGAGGAATGAACCGCGGTATGCGTGTTTCTTAGGAATTCTTACAGTTCATGCACTATGCTGGTTTAAATGGAGCCATTTTGAGCTTTTTACCGAAATTTTGATTCTACTACTGTAAAGCACAGTTTTTTCCCCATTTCCACGTTCTTGTACTTCTACTCGCAGTTTATAATGTTTGTATCATTTGTGCTTTTAATGTTTTCTGATTCAACAGAGATGGAGGAAAAATTGTGTTGACACCCTGCTGTGACACCTATGTATCTTTATCTTATGTTTGTCACATCTGAAATACAAAAGCCGCATGTACACTTAATAAATGACCCACCTCTATAAACTGTTTTCAAATTGACAGTATCTGGCTCTCAATCATGCTGTATAACTATATTCCATTTTGCTGACAGTGCTTGTGACCAGGAGCCAGGGAGAGGTGAGGGAAACAACCATCACAGAGCTATGGAAGAAGGTCCTCGCTGCAGGGCATCCTCAGGACACATACTCTGCTTTGAACAGATTAGCTGGATTGCAGGGTGCCTTGTGGCTGGCAGAAAATCTCCTGGAGCCTATGGTGAATTTATTTCACCTTTTTAACCAGGTACGTTTCCATCAGGTGACAGGTGGTATGTCATAATTACACGACATATAGTATTTCATCACTGTTTCAGGATGCTCTTAAAGTGTATGTCTGCACAAAAGGAAAAACATATATTTAGTACATCTCTGCAATCAATCCTCATTTCCTCACATACCTAATAAATCTGGCAGAAATCCAGTGAGCTCCCAACTTCCCGTTTCAGCTGACAACACAATGCCTCTACTGCATTAAATCTACAGTCTTGTCAGCCCTGCCCAGCTTTTCTTTGTTTGGTAGGGGTGAAGTAGTGAGAACTAATGCATTTAAGCATTTTTTTTTACTTCAACTAGTGTAAATGCCTAAATCAGCCTCTTATAATACCCTGTACAGCAGCGCACGTAGTGGCAGGACTGGGAGCCAATCAGGTGCACCAAGTGCAAATGACAAAGAACATACAGATAGGAGCATCAGCATGACCCCATCTGTCTGCTGCTGCTCCTTGATTGTGTAGTCGGCAGGCTGGGGGTGGAGAGAGGACAGTTTTCTTTATACTTGAAATGATCCACTACTCCATGCTTGCTCATTAGTGCATGAACCTGCTGGGTGAATCATATATATTTGCTCAAATAAATAATGTATTTAAAGCGTAACCGTGGGGATAGAAATATTGGATCCACTGTTGCAAAGGTGCATGCTCTGAGCATGTCATCATCACCCTTGGTTCATTACCTACTGAGTTGCTGATCTGCAATAAGCATGCAGCAAGTGGATTGAGAGAAGTATGACATTTTCTGTAAATATTTAATAGCAAGTTACTGCTCCAGGTGGGTTCACTCTTGCCCACTGCAGCTATACAGGTGCACGTTTAACTTATCACTGCATAACATCTAAACATGCATAGGGAAATCTCTAAAAACATGGATAAGGCACCCACTAGAGCTTGCTGTATTAATCTTCAGTTGTACTTTAGCGTGGTGCATACTGGAACATGATGCATTTCACACTAAACAGCCCTTACTCGTGAGTATGATCAGTTCTGCAGTGTTCATGTATGCAGCCTGCTGAAGTACAATAAACAGATTCATGCAGTAATCTCTGGTGAGTGTCGTTTCCATTTTTACCCATTACTTCTTCTCTATACTTATAGTTCAGTGACCCACCTGGTTTTGGTGAGTGTCGTATCCATTTTTATCCATTACTTCTTCTCTATACTTATAGTTTAGTGACCCACCTGGTTTTGGTGAGTGTCGTTTCCATTTTTACCCATTACTTCTTCTCTATACTTATAGTTCAGTGACCCACCTGGTTTTGCCCAGGTAAGGATGACAACCTTGGAGCCTCTATCCACAAATAAGACCTTTTAAACTGATGAATATTCATGGAACACAGATGTGTTCTAATTCATAAGTGCTTTGCATGCTTTTGAGCATAAAAGATAAATGTTAACTGGGTATAAGGTGCCATGGCCAGGCGCAACGTGTTACATACACTGGAGATAAAACCAGTTTGTTTGCAGCCTCTTGGTTAGGAGCTAGGTCACAGTACACTGTTGATCATGGTATGGTAAGAAGTGTGTTCTTATTTTCCCCACAGGATCCTACTTTGACATATAGAAAATGCAAGTTGTTGGAGTTGATCAAAGCATGGAAAGTTCCTCAACAGGCAGAGGAAGAAATTCACACTCTTCAGAGTGTCTGCCATTTAAAAGATATGCTGTATACCTCTGCTGCTTTTCTGCAAGGTAACCCCTCCTGTTCAGCAGCGTCTTTGTGGTTTTAGGACAGTGGATGTTCAAGCATGTATTTACTGTTTCTAACTTGGCGTTGGTAACATCAGTCCTTAACTTTTAGCCCTTGTTACAAAACTGAATAGAAGCTATGCTGTATGATACTGTACATATACACCTGTTTTTAGATCTTATTTGTTACCTAAACCTTTAAAGCTCCACAATGACAAACAGAGAAAAAATTTGCCACTTGAACGTGTAGAAATATTATAATTTAAAATGTAACTAAATTTGATTTTCAGGAACCAGATATTCATTTAGATTTATTCTAGCTTAAATCACAATTTGAATTATGCTTTTATGGCACAGGTTTCTAGGGCAGACCAGTTTTTCAGGCAGAAACAATTTTACACTTTAAATTTCTTTATAATAATATTTTAAACAAAGGATGATAAAAGACCTGTCCATCCAGCAGCCTTTTCTTCAAGGGGGTAGCTTTATTGCCAGAGCTAAAGTGCTGTTGATTCTTATCCACATCATCACAAATGTCAAATGTCATACCCTCCAATGACTTTTACAAAACATATACTAAGTACAAGAGTATTTGCAAATTTTTAAAAAGTTTTGTCATCAAAGTATGCTTTCCATTCAGAGAGAACCCGTTTATTGGGTTTGTTCACCCAAAACCCATATTCCATATTTTGGTAGATTTAAACCACCTGACATTTACATCTGCTGTGGTCAATATGAGAAAGTCTTATTCTTACTGTTGAATATTGAATCTAACCTTCCTTATGGAGAGTGCAACAAGAGGAGTTGGAAAATGTAAAGTTATCAGGAGATGTTGCTTTTGGTGTATCAAGTCAAATAAGAGGACAGGGGGCTGATTAAGTCCATCAGGTTCCACCCACTGTATAGCTCAATTATAACTTTTGGATAAACTAACCCTTACAGGAGTTTTGCTTTGATCGTGGATCCAATGTTATTGCTTTGCTAAATATGGAGTGTTCATTCTGTTTTATGCGTTCAGTGGCTTAAACTGAATTCTCCACTAGGTTTGGCTTCAATGGATGCTGAGGATTTCCCCCAGGCAGTGAACCTCTTACAAAAAGCTGCCAGCAGCTTGTGTACTAGCAAAATATTGTCTGAGATCTACACCTGTCTTGGCTGGTCCTTCTACAAGATGGTAGGACATGTAGTGGACATTTTAGAATCTCTTCTTACTCCCTGTGTCAAAGCAGCAATTAAGTAGTATAACAGCACTCTTCATAGGGAAGAGCATATATAATACCAAACATATATTTTACCATTTTCTAGTAGAGACCATATAGGGCTGTGGATTTCTGGTTATAAAGTTAACCATGCATCAAATAAATATTTCCATGTTAAATGCTTACAAATGGGTGCTAATTAAGTGATTTTTAGATCTGTTTTCAGTCAGAACTTAGTTCTGAAATTGGTTGTACAGATATTAACTGCTTGTTAGGGTAAGTCCAACCACAGTCCCCTATTGTTTTGATGGCTGTCTTTGGCAGAACCTTTACTAACAACCACTCTCAAAAGTGGATTTCAGAGTTGGAATTGGACTTCACACAGTACTGGCTCTCTTTTGAAAGCTAATGAGCTTTGGGTTCAGTCTAACACTGCATTTAAAATCCATCAAATCCTAAAAAATACTTTAAATATATTAATAGTAAAAAGGTTAGGTCTGAGCATGTGGGCTTTTTACAAAATAACCCAGAGAAAGCATGCAGAGCAATGCCCCTTACCTTGCAGCAGCTTATATGTAACCTCCATTTGCTCCCCCATCACTGTTTTGGTGCCAAGGGCCCATTTGGTAAGCAACAGGGCTGTCATGTAGAAGGAAGGAGAGTGAGTCATATC